CTACCACCTCTTTACTGTCACTTAAAAGCATGACTTGAACGCGTAGGCCAAAAACAGACCACGCGAGGTCATACTTCAATGTGGGATGCCGTTTGAATAATTCAACCAAGCTGTTGGCGCGCTCGACATAAAAATCAGGCGACATCCCCTCTATCTCCAACGCCTGCAGCGTTTCTGAGAGGACATAGGTTGGTGACTCCACGTCACCATCACCATATTCCTCCCTATCACCATTGACCGATCCGACGGCATCCTTGTTTCGTGATGGTGAGCGCATGGGACTGGCTCGGAAAAGGCTCGAAAGGCGATTGCCGCGTGGAGGAGTCGATGCCGGCGCCTGCGCACGTAATATTTCTTCTTCCAACTCATGCTGCAATTCGATCAGCTTGCGGTTCGATGAGCTCAATTCCGACTCCACCTTGAGACGCTGCTCTTTCGTTTGCTTTGGTGGTTTTGCTAGCAGTGCCTCCAGCATATTCTCGGTTCCGCTTTTGATCTTCATTTCCTTCGCGATTCTGTCTCGAAGGAAAGCCTGTCGCTGTTCGGTTGTGTGGAAATCTGCCTCGCCGATCGATCTGCTCGCACGTCTGTTATATTGGTCGTCCGGTCGAGGTGTGACACTGCGTGAAGTGGTGCTTTTGAGCTCCGAACTAAAGCTCCCTGGTCCACCGATGGAGGGAGCTAATGAGGGCGCCAATGATCCTCCCCGTCCGCCCATGTTGCTGCTCCCTCCAGACTCGGATCGCCTGTTCCTCCCGATTCGTGAGATACTGTCCTGCCAGCTCCCATCGGCAGAGCCGCCATCCTGACTGAGCGAGGATCGTCCATCACCCAGTGCACGATGATGAGTCGATGCGGAGTATGCTGAGTTGTGCCCGGAAGCCATAGAGCTCCATCCAGCCGTGCTGGCTCGCTATCATCTATCGCAAGTATTCTGAGTATCGGAGGGCTGCATTGAGGTCGCTTGTTTTAGCGGGAGGGTCGAGCGGAGCGGAGGAAGGGCAGTATGGGGAAGTGTAATGGAGGGGCGCGGTCACAGGTTGGTTGGTGATCAAAGGGAAATAGTGGCCATTTCCACCTGTCGAAGGGTGGTCGAATTTTAACTTGAGCACAGCAGTGATCGTCGAACTGCTCTTGTTGTCCCACTACGAGATGCTCGGCTCAGCCAGATCTGGAGAAACAAACTGCTGACTAAGGGATCTTATCGCTCCAGCCCTGGCCAACATTGCAACACCACGCCATGCTGAAGAGCTGTGTTCCTACCAAAGGGGTTTTCGTCTCTTGTTGAGAATGGTCTGATCATTCAATTGATTTTCATTTGATTTATAGTAGAATCTGAAGATCGTATATTCTGATAAACTACTTAGTATCCCGCTCTTTCTTCCTAGGCTTGCTCATACTGATGAATACCTACATGTAGGTATTTTATACCGTTATCAGTTCATTAGTTATTGGAGGTAGTCTTCTCCAGGATGGTCTTCATCATCTCATTGCCAAGCGTGGCAGCTTCAGGGAAACGCGGCGCGAAGTACTCCGCAATCCGCTCAAACCGGTGACGGTAGGACTCAAAGTCACCGAAAGAAACACAGTCAGACCATGCCTGTTGATCACATCAAGTTAGCACGAACTGACGAAGGGGATATTGCGAAAGACATACCCTTGCGGCAAACGTGAATTCCAAATCATCCGAGCGGAAGGTGTTATCATCAATTGCGGTATCCAATGCCTCATCCAGGAGATCCTGGTTACGGAACAGGTATTCGGTCACACCCAACCAGAGACGGAAAAGCTGCAGGATGTTAATATAACCGCAATCTGGCAATATGCTCTCAATGACTGGATACATACCGGCGTGGAACAGATCATATGATCGTAAGGGACAATGCCGAGTTTCGACCAGCAGTCAACAATAGCAAGCAGACTGAGATGGCTGTTCGGCGGCGCCTTCCCGCGCGGCCGATTAGACAGAGAGAACCGATCCAGCACCTCGTCCTTCAACAACAGATCTTGTCCTTCGGAGCCAGGTCTGAAGACTGACGCACCTGCAGCCTTTACCCGAAGCTTGAGCTCCTCCCTCTGTCCTCCAATCATCAGTTTGTACAAATCTGTGACCGACTCGGCGTACTGGCGAATCTGCTGTTTCGCCGCTGGGTTGAGGATGGCGAGCCCGGCATAGACGTGCCATTTATTCGAGTAGATGCGCAAGGTGATATTGATTTTGACATTCTCGATACCGCCTACCCACCGTCCATGCTCCCAGGGGAACTGATTGTTGGCCTGCCAGGCAGTTCCCATGCTCAGGAAAGCAGCATGAGTGACAGCCTGCGTATCCGCGGTGATACGGTCGTGCATCTCACCGGTGAGATAGACATGTTTGGAGCCGAACGAGGAAAGGATCGTCTCAACGAATTTGAGGCTTTCGTCTGAGGCTCTGTGTTGGATGAAGACCTAGGTCACCGCGTTGTTAATGCATGTCCGAGATAGAATAGAATCCAGGCTTGAGGTTGGTCATACCAGAGGCTGACCTTGCGGATTCACTTTGGGGCCGTGCAGCGAATGGCAAGATACAATCTCTACATCGGGGGGCAGGTGTTTCTCGAATGCGGCGAGCTCTGGAGCCTTGCAGGACGTTTGGCCACCGACAATGGCACCGACCTTGGTTGCTTAAATCCGGGTCAGAAAGTGATTGCGATGGAAGCAGACTAGCGGCGCTGGTTCGACACATACATAATCCGTACTGCGCCACGACCTTGTCGATGGCTCCAGCCTCTACACTGTACAGAATGTAATCGCTAATTCTTGAGACGAGATGTCCATTGGGGAATATGGTGACTCCTTTCTATATATACAATGAGCTTCTTGAGCTTTTGGGTGGCATAATCCCAGAAGGGGACGTACTTGAGAAGCGAACTCTTGTTTTAAAGATTCAAAATTCTCAGGTCTATCACACGCGTTTATCCTTGGTATCAAAATGCAACGTTAGTTATGTCAGGTCTAAAGGATTAGTTATGATGAGGCTCAATGCGAATCTGTAAAATCTTTTTCACTTGTCAGTGTATGTTTTCAAACAGCAAAGTGAAGATGTATAGAATGAGGTTGAACAGGATCAGACAAAAAAAATTAAGGTAGCGTGGGTGTAACATCACCGACAGCCAGCTGGTTAGCCATCAACCAGAATGGTATGACAGCGCCAACCAAACCGTACTCGAGCCAAATGCACTCATGTCATCATTTGAGGGGATGGGCATAGAAAGATGGGTAGGATAGGACGCTTACCATTTGAGGCATATTGGGACTGCGGTGCCGGAAAAAAGGGCCATTTACCTCCATCCTGCGTCGCTCAGGCGTTGGGCATACATTTTGCCCATATCACCCATACCAATGATGCCGATCGAGGCATCTTCTTTGGTGCGACCCATCATGACAAGTGCGCCTAAAACGATTGAGGAATAATATGTGGCCCTTAAAGCCGGTGACAAAGATAACCACTAAAGGTTGTTTCGGACCAGTCGAGGTTCAAACTCGAAAATTGCTCGAGTCTGGGAAGATCAATTGCAATGTTGGAAAGAATTAAGTTGGGCGAACGAAAAATTTAAATACTGACCGGAGCTAGGATCTTCACCGCCCACCGGGCCGACTAGAGATCCGGATATAAATGCATGACACCTGAATCCTGAGGCGCCTAGCTCGCTTGAAACTGCGAGCCAATCACAGGTCGTAATTTTCCCTAGGGCACACACCCACTTTTTTCTTCAACATCCAAGTGGGATCAGATCCGACTTTTCCTTCCTTTCTGTATTCCATCCACACTAACCACCAACAACAGTCGCAATGGCCCCCAAGACCAAGACCCCCGCTGCCGCTAAGGAGAACGTCTCCCTCGGCCCCCTCGCCGGTGATGGTAAGTTATGAACAAAATTCGAGTTGAAGAAGTTGGGGAAAACATGAGATCTAACCTATCTACATAGGCAAGCTCGTTTTCGGCGTTGCCCGCATCTTCGCCTCCTTCAACGATACCTTCGTTCACGTTACCGATCTCTCGTGAGTCGCCCTCCACCCGCAATTCTCGCATTTGAAATCGAGCGCAATTGAAATGAACGTAACACAAAGGATGATGTCGGCTGACAAATTTTGATTACAGTGGTCGCGAAACCATCTGCCGTGTCACCGGTGGTATGAAGGTCAAGGCTGATCGTGACGAGTCCTCCCCCTACGCCGCCATGTTGGCTGCTCAGGACGTCGCTGTCCGCTGCAAGGAGCTTGGCATCAACGCCCTCCACATCAAGATCCGTGCCACTGGTGGTAACGGCACCAAGACCCCCGGTCCCGGTGCCCAGTCTGCCCTCCGTGCCCTTGCCCGCTCCGGCATGCGCATCGGTCGCATTGAGGACGTCACCCCCACCCCCTCCGACTCTACTCGTCGCAAGGGTGGTCGCCGTGGTCGCCGTCTGTGAGCGTGTGCGGCTTGGTCTTTCCCTTTCCCTTGCAAGTCATTGCATTGCTGGATTGGAGGCTATTTGCGGGCTTCTCCTGCATCTGTGGATGGAATAAACGCGAGGAACGGCCTTGATCGCCTGGTCTTCAATTTTTTTCATACGCTGAAAATCAACTCCCGGGTTTTGCTGTTGGATTAGGTAGTGCTAAATCAATAACTTGACCTATATATCCTGGATTATAGCAAGCTCCTGATGAGCTCAGTTGTAAGATGATAGTAGTTACCCTCTAGATTTACGAGGCCTGGTTGAAGCTCCCGTAGGGACATGTGGATGTTCAGACATTAGTTTATTGTTGTTGTACAGATGTGTTGTTCTGTATCGTCCTGCTCTTTAGGACTTCGTTTGCACCTTCATGTATCATCCCGCGAAGCATCTACCCATGGACGTTTTTGGAAAGGTAAGAATCACCCATTGACGTCTGAATCTATGCAGTCTCAATTGTAATCTCTACGCCTTATAAAGGACTCTTCTTCTGTTCTTGCTTCTCTTCTTTTTCTTCCTCCATCACCTTTTCTCTTCCTCTTCCTCTTCCTCTTCCTTTTCCTTTTCTTCTTCTTCTTCTTCTTCTTCTTCTTCTTCTTCTTCTTCCTCTTCCTCTATCCCTTCTCTTCCATTGTCTATCGTCTCTCTCCTCTTGTCTAGCTCCTCCTTTCCATCTTTGGGGTCTTAATTTACATACTTCTCTACCCTACCCCTTATTCACCTATTATGTTCGTGGTAGGGTGTTGGCAAGGGGATTCTTTTGACCCTTCGACTCTTTTTGCGTGATATTTGGCATTGTTTTTGCCGGAAAATTCCCAAGTAAACTTCCTCTTCTCTCGGTAGCGGACAAGGCCATTTGACTTGGTCGCGCACCTTTAGCGTGCCTGCCTGCATTCTTTTTTGAGTGTGAACGTTCTGTCACAGTTAAGCTTATTTATGCACAATAAGCTTGACTGTGATCAGATTTCTCACTCAAAAATGCAACCACCATGCCAAAGGTGCACGACCAAGTCAAACGGCCCTGTCCCTTAGCGAGAAAAGAGGATGTTTACTTGGGAATTCTATGATTAACACAATGCCAAATGTCAGAAAGAGGGTCCTTGTTGATTCTTACCTTTTCTTAGAATTTGTTACTTGTATCAATAGCTATGTGGTAATTCTATAATGTTCTAATTTCTAGATGATATAATTGCTTTGCTTCGCTCCGCAATAAAGTAGAGACCTCGGGAAGATCTAAAAAAGATCGCCTCCCGATAACAGATAGAACTGCGTTTATCCGACAGCTCAAAGTACGCAATCGCCTTCAACCTTTCCTCAAAGCTGCAACTTTCCCTCAAAGCTCCAACTTTGTGCGCAATCTCCAACACAAAACGAGCGCAATGTCCACCCACCACCCAACCCCAACAATCCTCCTCCCAGACCTTCCTCCAAAAACCCTCGTCGGCATCGACCTCATAACCTTCACATCAACCCCCAACTTCCACGGAATCCGTGACCTTTCCCCGGGATGGCACTTCCTCTACACCGGCGCAACAGAGACCCTCTCTTTGCGCAGCGGCGCATGGTTCTACATTGGTGACATCACGACTGCAGGGAAAGGCAGTAACGACACAGCGCTCGTCGCGCAAGGCCACAAAAATCAAACCCAAAACGCACCAGGGCCAGAGATTTACATCTGGAAATGGAGCGCGAATACAGAGTCCTTGGTAGCGCTAGATGGTGAGAGCGCCTCATCTCTCCAAGAGTGCATGCGCTACAAAGCGAATCTGGGTTCGGTCTGGCAGAGTGGAGGACTTTTCAAATATCGCAGCCGGATTGCGCCCTCAATGCTTGTCAAGCCCGTGACGGAAGCAGAACCTGGCGAAAAGAACGAGCAAGACCAACCCGAACACCAAATCGAAGCTCGTATCCAGACCGAAGACGATTCGCAGACAGAAGAGAGCGGGCGGAGGGATTGGTCTGGGCTAACCGACCGCATCTCACCGAGCCTTCTATCACGCGTTATTGGCAAACCGGAGGTTGATGTGGACGGGCATCCGCGATGGGCGTTGTCGTCTGCTTCAACGGCCAACTGTGACGCGGATCATATCCCTGGCGTCGATTCGCCAGCTGAAGGGTCGCACGAGCTAGAACCGGAACGTGAATTCGGCTTCATTCCCGTTGATTTGAAGCGGACGTGGAGAGAAGGCGCTGTCGGACGCGAAAGGACGGAAGCTGCGAAGGATCGGTCTTGGGCTCTGGGAGACTTGATCGATCGGTATGCTGGGGAGGCTTCTGGGGGGAATCAGTTGCTTGGAGAACTGCAGTTTACGTTCCTCATGGTGCTAACTATGATGAACTACTCGTGTTTGCAGCAGTGGAAGCGGCTTCTTGAGCTGATTCTTACGTCTCGGAGTGCAGTCTTGGATAGAGAGGCGTTTATGAGTGAAGTTCTTCGGATACTGTCGTTGCAGCTGCAGAGATGCGACGATGTTGATGGTGGACTGTTTGAGATTGATGGTGATGAAGGCGGGGCTTTCTTGCGACATCTACTCATGAAGCTGCGTCAGTCAGTCGATGACCTCGTTGGTGACAGTGGATCCGAGGTCAAGTTAGAGCTTGACAAGCTTGAAGAGTGGGTGAAGGCAGAATATAACTGGGAGCTTCGTCGTGGGACTGTCGTTCGCCACGGTATGCTTCAATTGGAGGACGGCGAGCAGGTCGAAATGGACTGGGATGGGAATGACGAAGACGACGAGACTGGAGAGTATGCTCCGGTGATTGTTGATATGTGAAATGCGAGAATAGGACATCGAATGTGGTTCGATTTCTGCGCACTCATGAGATGTGTAAAGTAATTGACGATTTCCTTTTGATATCTAGCTTGGGTGCATTTACTGGCGTCTTGTTATATTTTTCAATAACCAAATGACAAGCATTGAATGAAACAACGGCATCTATGAATGAGGTCTAAAATCTATATACAGTTCAACCCTAGCATCAAAGATACCAACCACGATGCTAAGCTTCATAAACCTGCATAAGCGGCGTCAATCAAACAGCTTGCGAGTCTAAATCTAAAATCATCTATGAACGGTTTATTCATCTATTGTCCCTCGTTCTCGATGGTGTAAGCCCATTCATGTTCTTCCTTGCCGAACATAATGGCCTCGAGCCACGACTTGATCTGCGCGGCATACCCAGCAGGTTCGCCATTGGCGCCCAGGGTGTTGATATCAGTGTCCTCGTTGTGGATCAAGGCAACAGGGGTAATGAAGTACTGCAGGACGTGACGTTAGCATATCAGCTCCAACAAAAAAATAGACAATTTTCAAACTTACAGCAGTGCCAGAAACAAACGCCTCAACAATACGGCCCTCCTTGGAAGCCTTCTCAATATCATCAATAGTCAAAGTGCGCTCCACAGCCTCAAGCGGCGCAAGCTTTCCGACAAAGTTCTGCGACAAACGCTCGCGCACGAGCTCCAGAACACTGCGACGGGTGATACCGGGCAGAATGAGCTGGTTGTCAAGAGGGGCAGTAACAAGCTCCAGCTTGCCTTCGGTGTTGTGCCAGACAATGAAGAAGTTACTGGCGCCAGCCTCGGTGACCTGGCGGTCCGGGCCAAACAACCACAGGATTTGATCGTAGCCCAGAGCCTGGGCCTTGCCGTGGGCCTGCAAAGAAGGACCGTAGTTCGCACCCAGCTTGGCATAGCCGAAGCCGCCGGGCCAGGCACGGATGGTATCGGGGGAAGAGGCGTAGAGTCTAAGGCCCTTGGGGGCCTCGGCTTGGGGATCCTTCTTCATTTTGGTCATGTCGGGCCAGGGGACTGCAATAATGAAGAGGAGGGCTTCCTTGGGCACTTGGACACCCAGGTGAGGACCGTTTCCGATGACTGTTGGACGGATGTAGAGGAAGGAACCGGGGTTGGGGAGCCAGCCTAGAGACAATTATTAGTGGATCGCTCTCATTCGCATTGTAGGCAAGTATAGCCTGGTGATATAGTGATTTTGGAACATACGAGGGCCGTCGATTTGCAGGAGCTTGGCGACAAGCTTCTTCACCTCATCGTACTTGAATCCGGGTAGCGAGGACCGCTGCGAGCTGGTGTTCAGGCGTGCGCCGTTGCAATCGGGGCGGAACAGGCGCAGCTTTCCGTCGTATCCGCGGTACGCCTTCATGCCTTCGAAACATTCGGTGGCATAGTGTAGGACCGAGGCTGTGGGTGGGATGCTGAGGTTCTGATAGGGCTTGACCTCGGGGGTCTCCCATCCCTTGGCTGCGGTCCATTTCACGGTGACCATGTGGTCGGTGCAGTGAGAGTGGCTCAGCTCCTCTGGGGAGCCGGGCAAAGGTACATCGCGGAGGTTGGTTGAGCGAGTGATATTGAAGTTGGAGGCATCCAGCTCAGCGACATTGGGAGCGACAGAACCCATGGTGAGATGATTGTAGTATGATCAGGGTTCTTTTCTTGGATGTCGAGGAGGAGAGGTTCTATGAGTCACCAGCCGGGCAATGAATGATCTGAAAGGAAAACAAAAATGGCGAAAATGAAGCTACCTTCTTGAAATATGTCCTGCACAAAAGAAACAAAAGCGGTTTGCCCCGGAGAACCCATGGAATGCCCCTCCCAAACCGTTTGCGACCCAAAAAAAAGTTTTCAACGCCGAACGGTTCGCCTCTCTATTTGCCACCAGAAACATTCTACATTGCACACTGTTATATATACGCTGTGGGTTGAAGGATTGATCTCTCTGAAACTATGTAGAATAACTTCCAATTCATAGAACGGTCTTTCCCTCTACTTACGAGCGTTCTATGAGGGGTCAAATATTGGCTATCTTCAGGCCCACTTTCGGCATCTCCGAGGCTAGCCGCGTTGATATTCACTTACAATTGTAGTCTTCATGTTTTTATGGCAAAGTCTCGTTCATATTAGTTCGATCTTACTGGGTTATGGAACTACATTGAAAGTCTTGGCTCTTCAGTCTGCATAATCCTTGCATGCTTTACACCCTCAAGCTTTGCTCGGGGTAATATGTATGGAGCATGTTGCCTTCTAGAATACACCAATGTAGTAGCAGTACTCCGTATATCCAATTGAATTGATCAAGCATGGCAAAACAAGGCCTCGAACACCTCATGGAAATGATACTTTGTACCCCAGTCTACACCAATCATGATAGCTGAATGATATTTCCGGCTATCGTATGACCACCTTGAAATTCGATCAACTAATGAACTATCACAATAAATACCTAAATGCTATCTAATTGGGTTAATTGGGTTCAGTCATGGAGTTTGATAAAGCTGATATCGGGTGACATATATATCACACAGCACATTGAATACTATCAACCTTTCTATACAACACAACATGTATATGTACATGTATCTAGTCCACGGTTCCATCAAAAATCATACACGAATAGGTCATTGTGACCTTATCTCCTTGTTTATTTTCTGGCTCCATCTTAACAATGTATCCTGTACATAAAACTCTATTCACCATGGTCACACCGTGGTGGTTACATTCTCCATACCCCCAAGAGCAAACAAGACGATTCAGGCTTTCATTCACAATCACCCTTCAAATCCTCCTTAAAACAAGTGGTAAGATCACAGAGTTCCAGCCTCATTCCAACCCGGAGAAACTCCGACCTTAGAGGCTCATTCCTTGACATTGGTTGGGTCGGAGAAGGTCTCCGTGCCATTCAACGACCAACGACAAAAGCTTGGGCAAATGCACCCCCGGGAGTGATATCTGCAGCCACCCAGGTGTCATCCTGATGTGAGGTTCTGACTACGAGGGAAGAAGTGATCAACCAGATGGCAAAAGACGATGATGATGGAAGATCCGGAAACTAGCTACTGTACTGAAGCCTGTCTATATAGCTTCGTACCACAAAGCAAGCCAGATTCCATCCACCAGAACACAGAAGAAGCATCTCTGCAGATACACAAAGGAAAGCGCTGATACGGCAAGCTGCGCGTTTGCCGATGAGCTGTCTGTCAGAGAAGAGAAAGAAAGGGAAAGGAATGCCACACAGAAGGTCTACAAACTGCATGGGGCGATAGTGAGCCCGTCAGAATGCATCACATCCTGTTATCCACGGTGGTCTGATGGCAACGTTGCTAGACTAGACTTCCGGATGGTGTTGCTTCCTCGTATTCCCAAGCAAATCAGAGCCATGGTCACTATGACTGTCGATTATCGGTATCTGGACTAGCACATTCTTATTCTTATAAAGTCAGAAGGCAGAGGCCATCAAGATGTAGGATCGCAAGGCTTGGCTTGACGGTTGTATTGATGCGCTAGAAGATATCGACACGGTGATTGCTAAGGCTAAGGCGATGTCATATAGAACCGAAGCGAGCCTCTATAAACTTGCAATCACATGCCGGGTGTTGATGAATGTGGAATGTGAAATTTGAGCTGACTCTTTTCAGGACATGGTCGAGTCTTTATTGTCCTATCAGAATGCAATTTATAGACACTCGTGCTCAGCGCAGTGGATAGAAACATGTTCTGAGTACTTAACTTAGTCATTCCTTTGTGTTTATTCAGAAGCCTTCGGTGTTCAGTCGATATGTGATTCGACTTGGGATTTGAAAGACAGACATTTCGTTATATTGAAGAGCCCACAAAATGACATGACATTGACCACCTGGGCAAGAACGACGGGTCAGAGATCATCTAAATAGGATCGAATGGAAGTAACTGGCTTACTCTTTCATTGTATGATATATAAGTCCCTACTGTCGATAATAACGAAGGAGAATGGGAGAAGAAGCAGACATCCATCTGAAAATGTTATTGTAGGAACAAACAAGGCAGGGATTCGTAGTAGGGATGTAAAATGAGTAGTGCGCAAAGGAAGAACTACCACGCATGTGACATTATTTGAGGACATAGATATCCTCGTTCTATCCTATGGATACATCTATTGTAATCGTTCTTGACCCAAAGGTCAGATGGCTATTGACCCTATAGCTTTTGTTACCACGAATAATCCCATGACGGCTACATTATGTCTCGGAGACTGACAGACTATCCTTGGCAGAGCGTAAAAACAAGAAACAATGACATGAATCAGGATTACATGAATAATAGTTCACCGAGGAGACGGACGGCCTATCGGTTTGAGAAAAAAAGTATCCAAAACGTAAGTGATGGGGAAATTCGGTTCATTATCGAGGCGTACACAATAAAGAAGAAATGCATCTGTAACGGTCCTCGATAAGGGCGAGACTACTCCGTACTGTTGGGGCAATTGGTCGGCAGTTATCACCCGCCACGAGGTCTATACAATATAGAAGGACTAAGGCGTGATCAGATGCTGCTGCCTTACTATGTGACAGATCTCAAGCCAATAATGCAGACTGGATACGGACATGTGCATCAGCTGAAGCATCGCTTGCTAGTATCTGACGATTGAATACAGGACTAGGCTAAAATCTAGGGGTTTGTCACAGAAATCAAGGCCTAAGATCGGGCTCAGTAATATGACGTATATGATTAGCTGCGAACTATTATTTTTGGCTGATCTTAGCCTAAAGAGCATGAGTGGTAAGAGAAAAAGAAAGGAAAAGAGCGAACATGGCTTGCGTATGTTATACGGAGTCCGGAAGTAGAATGGCAGGTGTCAGAAAATCAATCCACCCGCCGTGATATGCAAGAGCCGAGTTTATTGGGACTGCAAAAGCAAAGATGCGAAAAGAAAAACCTTGGCGAAGAAAAAAAAAATGGATATGTTAGGATCAAACTACTCTGTATACCCCGCTGCATCTGCAATGCATTAACGGGCCGTGAATTCTCTGAAAGTGAAAAAAAAGAAGGGAACTTTTAACTACTCCGTAATAGAAAGAAAGCTAAATGATGTGTCTATCACTATTTATATCGGAGCGGATTATAGTAAGGACTCCATACGTCCCAACCACTATTCAGACTGAGCCACAGTAATCTACACAAGAACAGATATAATAAACCTAAAAAGCGGGGGCAAAGGTGGTGATCGCTAACGGTGAAAACATCCGACCAACCAAAGAAACATGGCTGCTTTTTCCGAACCACTGATGAGAAGTAAAATGACCTCCAGCCTCACTTTGTATATAGAAATAGACAAATATACTTCGTATCCTCGGTACATCGAGGTAGGGGAAGGGAACAGACCCAATCGAATAGAGATAAGCACATGCAATTCCGATTCAAAAGTGGCCTGGTCCAGAATATTCAAATCGGAACTACCGAGCATACCAGCCAAAACTATAGGATAACCGCGTTTTATTGTCCCGCTTCACGCTAATTCTGCTTTTGGCAGGAGTCTTCTCCTATAGAAAGGCGCGGGGGCTTTCATCACACATGCAGGTGATAGAGATTCGTAACTCACGTTACATTGCAGGCAATTTGGACCTTCATGTACTGTACTTTTGGTTGCAGGGGTCTGAGGAAAAGGTTTGTTGGGAATCTCGATGCCCAAGAAACACGGGAAAGAAGAGGGGGATCTCAGCCGCATAACAGATCTCACTGGCTCCTGATCCCGGATCTAAACAGGGCTGGAACTTGTCGTGCGGAGCGAAGTAAATATATCGTGTTATACTTTCTAACAACCTCAAGCAATACGATGTAGAGCATCGGAGCCGGCGTTATCTCCTTAAATTTCAGTTTATCAGGCACGTAAGCGGCAGTACGCGACGCTAGCATGTGTAGTTCATTTTCATTTTGTTTTTTGGTACAAAAGAAAATAATTTATTATTCTCCCCGGAGCCCACTAGGATAGGACTAGTTTGGAACGGCCCGAGAATCTACTTGAATAGCGCCGGACTAATATACTCCTGTTGGGAAAAGTATTCCATATAGTATCAGTGCTCCGTAGTGGGGTTACGGGTATACACAATCTACGATATAATACGATGTAGATGTATAGAGTATAATTTAGATATTCCAACTCGGAAAAGTTGCATAGCTACCCTCTCTATGTGGCTGACACCATCCCCAGCGCAGCAATACAGTGTTGCCGTGAGAATGCCAACCAGGCCAGTTGCTCGATATTCAAAGTGACAGAATGCCAAGAAAGAAATGTGTTTTGTCTATGATTCCGATTGGCTGTTATTTTAACCGCCAATGAAAACCGCTGGAAGAAGTTATGTGGGATGTATCGAGTAAAGTGTCGACCAAAGTGATCAAAATGGCCAAGGGGGGATTGTCAAGAGCAAGAAAGCAAATTATAGGGATTGGATCATGACAAGATTCAAGTATCGAGATAGCCAAATTATAATTAAAACAACATCGAAGGGGATAGGATGTTCAAGATGTTTCCCCTGAAAATCCCGATTCGATCCACAGCGAGAAAAAAAAAAGACTTTGAGACGGGACAAGGTTCTAAGATTCTATTCCCGGAGAACGGAGTAGGCGTAGTACATCCATGAATACGATGTACGACCTTGGTACATAGTAAGTCCACTTCATCACCTAGGAACTCCGCATTACAGCGTGTAGCAGCACATCTCGTGGTCGTCCCATCAACCGGTGTGTTGGAATTTTCACCTCCTTCGTGCGAACCCTGCCTGTTGGAACATTTTTCCAGGCAGTCGCCCGGGTTGAAGTCATCTTGGAGTGAAGGCCGCAGGTGTCAGCGTGGCTGGTTAGTAAACCGGGTGATATCCACAAATGCTTACCAGGATACCATATTGACATGGGGGCAAGTTTTTCCTAATGTCTTCCCAATTAGTTCATGAAGAAAGTGGCGAAAAGTGGAGGTTATGGAGTCCGGTATATGTAATTGATATATGAGCTTTGTAGTTAGTTGAAGTTAGTTATAGTTATAGGAAAACAAATCCGGCGTCAGTGTCCCAAACCTGACAGTATCAGGGTTGACGGGGCCGGCATATCTGGATAATCCGATCCCAGTCTTTTGCAAGAGAGAGAATTAGACACACAATCAGGGGTAGTAGAATCATATGTTCAGAGGAAACGCCATAGAACAAGCTTGACAATGAGCTCCAACAAGGCATGTATGTATTCCGAGAGGGCATCAAAATACGCACATCGCAGAGATCGCGTACCGACGCCCCAGAATCTCCTTTGGTACTCCGTCTTCGTACTGATACATCCCTGGAGGTGGCTTTTTTTTCTCTCTTATTTTTTTCCTGTCCGTTTTTCTTTCTTTCTTTTTTCTTTTTTCTTTGTCGTTTTTTGATTCGCCCCTGATTTTTGGGGGGGATTTAGTATCTCGTGCTTTGGTTCAGGCTGGCCCGAAGGCTTTCCATATTCGATCTGCCGAATCTCTTGACAGTATCTCCCAGGCCTCGACTCGATGGCCCCTCCGCCATCTGCATATCATCGGCTTATATTGGCAAGTTGATGAATTTGTTCGCTCTCCAATCACAGCTGAATTCGAGCTTGGAGTACAGGGTTACCCCGGTTGTGTGACGGGCGTCGAACCTCCCCTTCTGTTTGCTAAACGCCCCCCTCGCTTTTGGGATCTTGTCACCTGCAGGTGAACTTTGGATCAGACCGATTCCAGAATAGTTTCTTTTAGTTGTGTCCCACCTTCATGCGTAAATAACGCACCGCACCGTGACGCCCGTATCATTGCGACATGACACTTACCCCCTTTCTGACATCCAGCTGGTGAGACGTTGGAGACGTCGATTTCGATGGCCTATAAGAGGAAGCGCTAGGACCCTGGTTTAGCGCTATATAGAGTGTTGTTTGCCTGCACTTTTTGCAAAATCACTCACGATTTGTCAACATTTCTGCCTTGCCTAAGATTCAACCACGGTATATCTCGGCCATAAATCTCGAGACACAGCCTTTTGGAAATCATACTCCCCATGGCTGGTCTTTTGAAAATGAAGATGAAGATGAGCCATCACGACAACAAACCATTTCCGGCGTTGGCTCCAGGTCCGCCGCGCCTGTTCGCTCCGCAGACATCGACTGCTGTCAGTAGGCCAAAGAAGAATTCTACGGCTTGCCTGGCATGCAAAGCAGCAAAGAGGAAGGCAAGTCGTTGCATCAGTGAACCCCTGAATTCCCCCTTTCTCTTTCTTCCTCTCTCTCTCTCTCTCTCTCTCTCTCTCTGGGTTGTCACAAATCTTGGAACAAAACGGCTAATTTTCTGGTTCTGCCCGATACAGTGTTCGGGGCCAGATGCCCCATGTAAAGCTTGTCGATCCACAAACACCGAATGTCACTTTGATCCAAGCCGAGACCTCAGACGAAAGGTTGCCGTCAAGCGGACGATCCAGGAGCTCACCAACCACAAATATCTCCTGGAGTCCTTGCTAAGCACACTCGGGTCGGCTGACCAACCCCAGTTTGACAAAGTGATGGATTTGATCCGGAAGAAGGCTTCGTTCCAGGATATCGCCCATGCGGTCGGAAGCCCCGTCACGACATTCGGAGACACCCAAGATTTGTCGACTGCCAGCAAATTGCCAATCTTAGAGTATGGGGGGCATCCCGTAGAAACTTCAGGCAACGCGGTGAGACGACCATCGGACCCTGGCAATATAGCAAGCTCACCAGAAGAGCCTCCAAGCATGAAACCTCCGCAGTGGGCAACAGTTAGCCCTTATGCTCGTATCACACTAGAGAGCCTCTGCGACATACCTCTCTTCGAGGTGTCGGCAAAGCCGTGGACAAATGTCACAGATGATGATTTTCTGGTCTCGCAACTAGTCTCGCTCTACTTTACCTGGGACCACCCATGCTCGCAGTTCCTTGATCAACGTATCTTCCTCGAAAGTATGAAATTCGGGAATCGAGGATCAGTTTTCTGCACGCCTCTTCTCGTCAATAGTTTACTGTCAATCGCCAGCGTATGGATTCCGGAAATTTACCACGCTACGAACCAATTAGCTAACCTCGATAGGCCTATTCTGATAGCCCTGGTGTTCTTTCCACCCTCGAGAACGTGTTCTCGCGGGGTCAGAAATTTTTCCAGGAGGCACAAAGATTGTGGGAGGTTGAAGACGATGACCACGATCTGCCTAATATCCAGGCGCTCCTCATGATGTGCTGTGTGTATGTTTCCCTGGTCTTAAAAAATAAGTCGTATTCATGATATTGATTTCTTTGCAGATTTAAATCCCAAGGACGAATCAAGAAAAGCTGGACGATGCTTAGTCAAGCAGCTCAGCTGGCGCGGGATATAGGACTCTTTGATACCCCAACAGTGTCGGGAAATGACATGTCGTCAGAGATGGAACGGATTCGCACGATCACTGCGTGGGGTGTCTCCAACGTGAGCTTGTAAGCGCTGCCTATCATCGTAAGAACGAACAATGTCTAACTAATTGGTGCAGACAAATGTCGATTGAGCTGCAGAAGATTGTTCCTTTAGCATATCCCACGTGCGGGGTCAAGTTGTGTGGCGATGAAGACCTTGGCTGGATACCGTATCCTCGCTCAAACAAAATCACATTTGACAAAAAGCCAGCTCATCTCCCTCAAGTGAGGAAAGGATTAGCTGAGATCACCATGATCTTAGTCGATATTCAGAAGCTCATTTCTGAAAAACGTCGGGGAACCAGCTTTAATGAGCTGTGGATAAATGCTAATGACCCATTCGACCGTTTGACTGATTGGCTGAGACGTTGGCCGAGTGTGTCTGCTATACAACGAGATCCGATCCCACAGGTCCTTCTCTTGCGGTAAGCATGACTACCTTCCTGTTGCGTGTACCCCAGTGATTGTTGTATGCTGATACTGCGTGAAGAATCAAATGTCTCCAGGCCATCATATACCTGTTTGAGGTTTTCAACGACCCCCGTGAGCCACAATTTGCCCAACAGGTCCAGTTCTATCAGGCTAGGTCCGCCGAGCAAACGGCGCATTGTCTTCGCATCCATCGCCAGTCGTATGGCCTCAGGCATATACCCATCCAGGTAGTCGATGCCGTACAGACAGGCCTTCGGATCTTAGTCCATCAATTGGAAAGAAGTGACGAATCGAGGCAGGCGTTTGCTGAGCTCTGTCGGTTTGGAATGGCTCTGAGCCACAGGTTTAAGCAAACAGCGGACGTGATCCATGAGATCAGGAGGAATGTGCTGCATCGAAATGTCCGATTACCACCTGATGTTGTTGCAATGTTCAATCACCCGGAACGGTGGAGGAGTCTCGAGCCCTGAAAGTTAGCATGACACCTGTGCTTGTGAATGTATGAATGCATCTATTTCGCTACCCCATGAATGATATTGAAAGAAATTTCACCCTACTGCAGATTCGTGTGAAGCAAAGGTGGAATGTGGAGTGGATGTATCACGACGGCAGGACCGGAACGAAGGTGATGGGGAAAATCTGCAACATCCTAGAAAACTGTCATGGCAGAGTAAACATTAAGACTGGCCTACTCAACAATGGCCAGTACTCTGCCTTCCTGGCAAGTGGGTCGGAGACAAGGACGTGCAGTGTCCTGTCTGTGGTTTGAGGCAAAAAAAGGGGACCAGAAGCAACAACGTTGACTGAGGGGAAGGGGCTGTCATCCGCAGAGGCCTGTTAGCTACATATTTCACACTCAGGTTACTCAATGAAATCACACGCTTGAGAAATATTGAATTTCTCTAGTGCTGGACTTCCCAAAATTCCTCTAGAAAGTACAAAAATGGGTACTGAGTTGAACTGACTTGGTAACGTGCTAAAGCCAACCGTTTTCTGTCTGCTGTAACACTGTTAGGCCCTGTTACGTCCATCTTTTATATTTGGAATTACCCTCCACTTTGACCAGACGGGGATGGGGAATAGGTAGATACATCTAGATAGTTTAAGTGTTTACACTGAGTACACCGAGTCGGTCTTAAAAACAAGCATTCGGAACAGAGAGCATATACACGATCACTTTTCAAAGGTTATAGTACATAGAAAAGTCGCTTTTAGAACCTAAGCCTCTTTATGGCCTTTTCCTGCGGTCTATGTAAAAAGATCAAGAAAGGGCAGAAGGTCTCTATACAACAAGACATCTACAAAGGCTACCATCGAACCAACTGGATCATGTCGTTCTCGACAGAACGCGGCCGACTTATTCTTGTATATCAAGATGTGGAACAGCCAGAAAGAAGTATAAAGTCTGTTTAGAATGTCCAGCGCCCCTTCCACTATCAACTTGTACACTTCAGGATGTTTACTCCTTCATTATACCTATTAAATTTCTACTTACATAGGCACTTCGTATCTAGGTAGTTGCGAAGCTATAGCAATGTTGAACTATATTTGACTTGGAAGTATACAGTACATGTATTCCCAGCCAAAACAGGTGAGTGTCTCGGTACCCTGTACTTATCCTGGCCTTAGTGCATCAGGCACAAAATCTACACAGCTGAGTCATCTTGATGCTTATGCCCAGATAAGATAAGCACAAACACCCAAGCGAAAACCCTCAAAATTCGACTTCTTTGGCAAATCGCACACGCCGACGCTATCCCCCCCCCCTCCCCACCTCGCCCCTTCCGCTTCCTCACTGCCGTTTCATCTCGGCATCTTGCTGCATTTTTAACTCTTTTCTTCTCCCCCTCCCACTCAACATGTCCTACGACGACCGCGCCAATGCGCGCCCCAGCTTGAACGATGAATCCGATAATGAGGAGGAGGCTATGGTCAACGACTACCGCGAGCAGGTCAACTTCGACGATGGAATGAGCGAGCTGGACCAGACCATGTCCCACGGTGGAGCGCAGGCTCAAGACC